AATTATTTTTGAGATTGAAAACTGACTGAAAGTGGTTGAAATTGATAGAAAATGACAGTATGTGTGGCCAGGATGATTACATACCTAGAAATATTGCCTCTCATAGGACTAACTAGTGAGTGGTGCAGTATAACACCTGCGGCTGCAGTCTTTGTAGAGTGCTTGTTAAAGTGACGCCTGCATGTAAGTATAAGGTAAATGGTGTCATGCTCTGTACAAGAAGGTAAGCAAAATGCTAGTATATTTTGATACTATTGTACATAATTCTAAATTAATTCACGAAATCATAAGAATCTATGACATTTGCAAACCTGAGTAAGAAGGCATTCAGAGTTCACTCAGACAGCAGTATTAGACAAGAGTACAATTTATATTAGCAGCATGTATCATGCAGAAAGAATGAGCGTATATTTAACAGTTAAACTCCAGAGCTTATTTCACATTTCAGCTATTTGGCCTTTTATTTGGCCTTTTATTTGGCAGTCACTTTTTATTACTTACTGTATAATTTAAAAGAAATACATATATATTTTTAAAATGTTCTTTTGGTGGTATTGCCTTCTAATAAATAATTTTATAACATTTAAGGTGCAGTATCAAGAAAGATAATTCATTAAGCCTTTAGCCTGGGTTCACACCTGTACAATTCATCACCGCATGTGCGTTGCACGAGTTTTTACACGTTACCATACAATACGGAATGGGCATACTGTATCTAAGAAGAAGTGCATGACACTTCTTATAAAATCACATTTAACCACAACGCATGATATTACATTACCATGCATTGTGGTGCTTATACGGCTTTTCAAATTAGCACAGCCTAGATAAACACGATGTGCACAAGACTGTAATACAACTGCTGTGTGTACAGTTCATTTCTTTAAATAGGCACATCAGTAAGACCTGATGTCCACTGTTGGCAGGACACACTTCCATTGACCTTCTAAGTAAGTTGCAGTAATCAGAAGATTGTTTGCTGTTTGCAGCCAGGGACAATACAGCTGTATTTACACCTTAAGAGTAAGAAATCATGGACATGGGATGATTCTCATGTCCCCAGTCCAAATGTGCATATCCAGCTATCTTCTATCTGAGGCCATTAGAGATGTGTGATTCGTTTAGTGCCGAATCAGAATTCGGACTAATTTTGCGAAAATTCGGACATTCAGAGACACCTGAGTCTCAAAATCCCAATGCATCCAAATGTGTCCGAATCCGAATTTCCAATTCCGATTTTCGGATCCCGTCTGAATTTCGTTCAAAAATTAAACTGAATCGGACATGTGACTTTTCTGACCATTCAGATGTGTTTTTTTGTTTAATGCATCTGAATGGGTCTGAACACGAATTTTCGATACGGCAAAATGCGAGCCATATTCAGTATATACAGGTGAAACTCGAATAATTAGAATATCGTGCAAAAGTTCATTTATTTCACTAATGCAACAATGTTGGATCGGCTGAGTCGAACTCCTTCTGCATGTTCGGCCAACCCGAAGGCACGCGTAGCAAGCTGATGTACGGCTGAAATCAGCCGTACCAGCCTGAAGTGAGTAGCCGAACAGTGTTCGGCTCACTTCACTTCAGGTCGGTCATTCACTCGGCTGCCCTCGGCAGCTAAGTGAATAGACCCATAAAGCTCAGACTCCTAGACCCGAATGGCATTCGGGATCCGAACTTCCAAATAGCATTCGAGAGCTCCTGAATGCCTTTTGGATCTGGGAGCATCAGCTTTAGTAATATATGTACATAGCTCCAAGACCCGAATGGCATTCGGGAGCTCCCGAATGCAATTTAGGAAATTCAGATCTCGAATGCCATTTGGGTCTAGGAGATTCAGCTTTAGTATTAATATCTGTATATGGTTTTCTGTGGTATTCACAACGAATATTCGTAAAGTCATTCGAAACTAACGAAAAATTTGGATTTTGTCCGAATCCGAAATCCGAACCGAGTAGAATTTCGGATCCAAATCCCGAAATAACAAAATATCTAAACCGAACTTAATTTTTCTGCAGCTTACATGTGTAGGGGCCATCATGAGTCACTTTAGGCTCAGTTTATTAAGATGAATTAGTAATTATAACAGCACTACTTATCTCATTATAATGTTCTCCAAAAAATGTTCAATTCACAAACATAAATGTCACCAAGATGTGTAATCTTTATTTATCCACATTAAATGAAAATGTATCTGATAGTGTTATTTTATGGTGTGATACCCTTACTTACAAAGCAGGATAAATAAGTGAAATAAAATGTAAGCAATATAAGGTAGATAATGTAACAAGGAAATAAAAGCTGAAGAAGAGAACAACACTGTGAACTGAGCCCCTTGACTACAAAAACTGCTTAATAATTAGAACTATGTATACATCATTTACACTGTTTTCATGGGTCAATAGAAAGGGAGAAATTACTGCTTGTATATGGAACACAAACATGTAAATATGGAAAGTAAAATGTAAAAATAACTACTTTGATACTGGCAAGGGGACTAACAACTCCAGCTGGATACAACATCCAGTCTAGACCATCAGGGGTTAATTGCACTACAGCGCATAAAAAGGAAGCCCAGCTTGGCAATCATGTCTATTCCTCAGGAAGAGGAGCGATCTTCTCCCTGAAGCGCATTGAATAACAAGTGCAGAGCATTTGTAAATTGGATAGTGTGCTGGATTTGTTGGAGGGGATATGGCCTGATTTTAAATGAAGACCCATTTTACTGTTTTTTGTCATTGACATCCAGAAAGAACTACAATTTTAAGGGTTAAAACTCTACAATTTAAATTACTTTTCAGTAATTGGTAAACTGGCAGTTCACTGCTTAGCTCTGTACCATATCACTAGACTTAAACTGCCTAAATTGTAATAAAATTGGAAAATGTAATAAAATTGGAATACTATTTGACTATATGAAGTGCTGGTGATACTGTATTCTACATACATACATGCATACATACATGCATACATGCATACATACATACATACATATATTCACAGTCATTTACTAAATAATTGTAGTAATATGTACTGTTATATGAGAAATATAACAATATGCAAACTTTGCATGGGTTTCGTAAGTTTGATATATGTGATCTTTATAAATCTAGTTACTTATTTAATTAGATTTGTAATTGGTTTCAGAGTACTATTTCACTTAATACTTTAGTATTAATATCTGTATATGTTTTGGAAATTGAAGCAGGAAAAATCTTTCTGTGGGTGGCGGGTAAATGTCCAGGCTGCATTTTTTAATATGGTGCGCTGGTGATATCGAATTCCTTATACAACCATATATACATATGTTCCCACTGATTTACTGAATAATTAAATAAATATGTACTGTTAATATTTCTTGATGGTTTCTTATTATGGGGAATATAATATTATTGCTTGGGTTTTCTAAGTTTGACGTGTGTGATTGTTATAAATCTAGTTAATTATTTACTTAGATTTGTAATTGGTTTCAGCGTTCATGTAATACTTTTTGAAAATGAAGCAGGAAAAGCACAATTTGCATTTTCACGTTAGAGAAAGGAATGAGGCCAACAGTTTTCACTTGTGCTAGTCAGCCTGCTATGCTAATATCTATGACAAAGGTGTATCATATGTAGATATACAGCTGGCTGTGTGGTGTGACAGTTCAATACAAGGAAGTGTACCTGCACAGAATCTCCATTCATATGTCAAGTGTGTGAAACACATGCAATACACATTACCTTGCGTTCTAGGAGCTGTGTGCTCATTTTCAGGTTTAAATTCAGCATTTATTAATAAATATTTTATTATTATATATGCCTTGCATTTACATGTTTATTATCATTATACACACTACTTTTGATGAAACACTTCCATCCTTGCATATTAAATATTTTTGGGAAGAACACTGTGTTCTTGTGTAAACAGAATGCTATTGTGTATGGGGATTTAAGTATTTCCTGCCGATCCTCTCACCTTCCTTCTTCAGCCCTTTGTTCCCATGGGAAGGTAATACTAAGTAAGAGTTACAATGTCTTCTGTAACAAGAGAGCTCAGCTGCCGGTAGATAGTAAAGAAGTTATATATTGCAGTAACCTGGACAGCATTATTATCTCCTAATTTAGTGGGATCTTTAAAGCCTTAAAACATGTAAAAATGTTATGCTCATTCTGGTGCATTTTCAATGTGCTTTTATGAGATAAAAAAGATATTTAAGGTGTAAATATAGACAATAATGTTATATAAGTGCATGTCCAGGTAATTTCTGAATAATGGACATTACAAATGTAGTAAGTACAACCACTTAACAAATACTGCTTAGAACATCAAAGTATACCCTCAATTGACTGCTGTTACAGACTACACATTCACATAGTTTTCTTGAAGTTTTCCTAAATCATCCATTCTGCTTTGTTTCCTCTGAGGACAGTAACAAATTCAGATAGCGTGACTAAGGTATTTTAATTGTAGATTATTTTACTTGACTAACTAAAGTTTCTCCTTTTGATGAATTGAGGGTAAAGGAAGAACATGATTTCCTGCTGAGTTTTTCCTATAAGACATGACCTATAGGTGATAGGAAAACATGGAAGTCCATTTACCTAGACACCTCTTGTTTTTAAGCCCTAGATTTGAAATTTTAATTCTGCCAGGTGTTAATTCCTAATGAAGGCTATTACACTTAAAGCAGGTTATGGGGGTTTAAGACACACCTCTTCCTTATGGCACCTCTGCTCTTCCATGTAGGTGCAAACATTTAGATATTTACATACACTCTCACTTAATCTACAGGGCAATTAACCCGAGAAGCTTCTGAAAACCTGGAGGAACATTCACTAGCCAATCATCAACAAGAGTAATGAAGATCAAAAGAAACTATCCACCAATCATGACACTTCAAGAGCAACGGATGTTCTGTATGGCATCAGCTTGATTTAGAAGGTCAGAAAATTCAGGCTTGTGAATTGCTGGAAGACTGCAGGCACTAGTGTTGTCACTTAAGTTGGCACTTAAACATGAGTATCAGTGGAACAGAAAGCTGTAGCAAGAACATAGGGTGCAGGATGGATCATCTCCTCACTGCTGTAAAAAATGAGCTACAGGCTGGCAGTGACAAGGGTGACCCTACAGAGAGGGAGCTTAAAGTAGCATTAGAGGAACCAGACTTATGGTTAAGATTTAAAGAACTCACGAATGAAATGATAGTCACCAAGAATGGCAGGTAAGTGTTTAGTCAAATGTCTTTATTCTTGTCTAGCAACTGAATCAGTAATTAGAAAATATATGGATGAGTATGGGACATAGACGTCTTTGTATAGGATCACTGTGTTCATACAAAGAGTCCAAGA